ACAATTTATGTTACTGTCACAGATTACTTTTATTGTCCACAACTTAGGCCATGTTTGGTGGGGATTCTCAAAATTTTACAGTAAATCAATTCTTATTTTCAACCACACATTCTTCAATAACATAATTTTTTTCATCACATCAATAATTTTTTATTCTTTTTCAACCACACATTTCTCATCATATCACTATTCAAAATCAATTAGTGCTTGTTTGGTAGGAATTTTTGGGGGAAGAATTGATTTTGAATAGTGATATGATGAGAAATGTGTGTTGAAAAAGAAGAAAAAATTATTGATGTGATGGAAAATATTATTTTATTGAAGAATGTGTAGTTGAAAATGAGAATTGATTCTCAAAATCAGAAACAAACACCCCCTTAATAAATTTGCATGTCACACATATTTATTGGTCACAATTTATTCTTTATTGGTCACATACCAATCAATTTATTGGTCACAATCAACAAAATATTTGTGACTACCACCAACACAACACCATCGTCGTCTCCACCATCGCCGCCACCAACACCACAGAAACATACAACCGCCGCCAACACCAACACCAACACCACCATAACCATCACTTCCCAACAACAAAATCACCATTTCAAACATCGTAGTCAACGTTATCACCACCACTACTACACCAATATCGCCTCCGCCACCACCTCGATCATGCTACATCCTAACCCCAATCCACTACACCCACCACCAAAACAACAGGACCCCACCACCCCACATCCAGAACCACCTCCCCGCTAAAACACGTAGAACCACCGCACCACGCCAAAACACACAGACCACTGCAACAGCATCCAAATCGGGAAAAAAAAACCCTCCAAATCGGAACCACCGCACCCAACACTCGCCACTGAATCCAAAATCGCGCGCATCTCACACAGATCACAAACCTCATCACCACACACCGCCACCACCAGCACTTGTGCCCGTCGAGGGTCCCACCATTACCACCTTAGCTGCTGCATCCACATCCACACCAATTTCAACCTCCTCCTCCTGATTTTCATCAGCACCACTCCTCTGCTTAGCCATTTGTCACTCTTCGACATTGGCGGCGGTGACGGGAAGAAGAGAGAGAGGCGATAGAGAGAGCATGAGAGGTTAGAGAGAATGTGATAAATGATTTTTTTATTTTTAGGGTTTGGGTAATTATAATTTAGATAAAAATTAATTAATATTTAATATTTAAAATGAAATACCAGACTTTTGTATAAATAAACTCCAAATCTGATTTTTGAATTGAAAATTTTAAAACCAAGGCTACTTGTAATTTCCTCAAATATGATATACATGTAATATGATTGGACATAAAAAGGGTCAAAACACATTGTTTCATTTAGTTAGCGGGCCTATAAAGACTATAAAAAATTTCAAACCCAGCCCTAGAATGCAAACTATGTGAATGAATGAATTCTCCTCTATCTGTTTGTATATTTCATATATAACCCTCTGATCAAATGAAACAAAATCAATTTTACATCATATCTAAGAGATTCCTTCGTTCTCTATTTGGTTTATGGGAACTCAATAAAAAACTGATTTTATGATCCGTTTGACACGACTTTTTAAAAGCCAAAAGAAGTTTTTGAAATTTAGAAGTTGTTTTTAAATTCGTTTGACTATTTTTATCAAAGTGCTTTCATTAATTAGAAGTTTGACACGACTTTTTAAAAGCCAAAAGAAGTTTTTGAAATTTAGAAGTTGTTTTTAAATTCGTTTGACTAATTTTATCAAAGTGCTTTCATTAATTAGAATAACTTTTGGAGGAAGTTAATCCAATATAGGTTCCTTTAAAAGTACTCCTACAATAGAAGGTTCTTTTAAAAGTCAGTTTTTAAACAAAAATAAATATATCTTCCTCTAAAAGCTTTTCTACAAAAAGAAAACAAAAACAAAAGTCTAGCTAAATGGACCCTAAACTATTTTTAACCGGATGAATAGAAAAGAACAACCCGGCCCCGGCTAACAAAAAATTGATCTGCCAAAACAACATTCAAACCAAAATGTCCAAAACAATT